GTGGCGCTCTCCTCTGCTCCCCAAGCAACCGGGACGTGGGGTCTCCCGCTGCTCCTCACAGCGCACCCCGGCTCTGCTGCTCCTAGCTCCGGCAGCCAGCAGCCGCGCGCCAGGAGTGGCAGAGCAGCCCATGTAGCACATACAGACTGGGGAGGGGGCAGGCAGCAGAGTGGCAGACAGGACAGAGAGCAGAAAGCAGAGCAGGTGAAAGAAAGGCACTGGAGGGACGGCTGCGGCGCTAATCTGTGGCCGGCCTGCCAGGAAGTTAGCCCCCATTGTCCCAGCCTAGACCTTCTCTGACCAGCGCTTACCCAACCTGCTCTTAAAAATCTCTGATCGCGGAGATGTCACCATGTCCCGAGGCATCTGCTCCACCGCGGCGCCGCTCTGACAGCGGAGGAATTGGTCTATTTTTTTTTGCAAAAATATTCAATTCTCTCTCTCTCTCTCTCTCTCTCTCTATATATATATATATAAAAATATATATATAAAGTTTACCTCCACCCTGCTCATAAACAGACACTCAGACCCCACAGTCGAGGACGGTATTAAAATGGGACTAAGTGAAATGTGCTGGTACTACAGGAAGACAGAAGAGGACCATGGGAAAGAAACGACAGAGCTCATCTGGTGGAGAGGGGTCCGGCACAGACTGCTTCGGGGCGGGGGGCAGACCCTCTCATGAAGGCAGTGGGTGGGGACACGGCTATGGAGACGGGTGCACAGGTGCACGGTGCAAACTGTGTAACCGGTTTTTAATGGTTTAACTGTCGAAGTGTGCTTTGATCTGCCAAGTGAACCATAGGGGCCACTTGGCAGAGTTTGTCTGTCTAATCTGAACGTACGTTGCTGCACCTTCAAGTCAGGGCCATGCTTCCTGCTCTCTGTGGCAAGGGGAACAGGTTGTCTCTCTCGTTCAGGGCAACCCCTCAGGTGCGTGAAGACTGCTGTCACGTCCCCCCTTAGAGCGCCTTTTCCGCAGCATGTGTCTCAGCCTGTCCTCCTGTGACAGCCTGTATTTGTGTTTTGATTTGTCCCGAGCTGCAGCACCTTGCACGTGTCAGCACTGATCTTCGTCCTTTGGACTCCAGCCCAGCTTTCCAGCCTGTCGAGAGCCGTCTCAGTTCACCTCCAGTGTGTTCACAGGCCTCCCAGGTGTCGCCTGCAGCTTTGCTCAGGAAGCTCGCTCTTTTCCAGCATCCAAATCATTAGCAAAGCACCAGGCCTAGGACACAGCTCTGTGAGGCTCTGCTTGAAGCCGGCCATCCTGACAGGGACCCCTGATAATTGCCCTTTGCTTGCGCCTATTGAGCCAGTCGTCCATCCACACTGTAGTAGTTTTGTCCAGCCCACATTTCTCCAACTGGTTTGTGAGAAGGTCATGCAGAGCTTGTCAAGAGTCCAGATTCGTGATATCCACCGTGTTCCCTTCATTTGCACAGTTGGCTACTTGGTCGAAGACGGCACTGGGATGTGCTTGGTGTGATTTGCTCTTACCAAATCCCTGCTGGCTGCTCCAGATCAGCCTTTCCTCTGCCAGCTGCTTGCAAACAGGCGTCCTTAGGATGTACGCCAGTAACGTCCTGAATCTGGAAACCCACAGGAGAAAGTGGGTGTAGGGCAGCAGTCCCAGCCCCAAATCTGGGCTGGGGCTCAGGGGACGGAGAGCGAGCGCCGGGGGGGCAGGGCCACGCCTCAAGGAGATGGGGCAGCAGCACTCAGGCAGGATTTGGGTGACCAGGGAGCAGCAGTGCCCTGGGGCTGGGGCTGGGGCTGGGGCTGGGGCTGGGCCAGCTCTGGGCAGAACGGTGCTAAAGGCCAGAGTATGGTGGGCAGCCCAGCAGTGGGCGCACAGTGCCCTGCTGTAAAGCAGTGAGCTCCAGAGCTGCTCCCTCCCACGCAGGGGTCCCCTGGGCAAGTGGGCAGTGCTGCCAGCGTCCCCAAGTGCCATGCTGTGGGGAATCTCAGCCAGCTCAGGCCTGTGCCCCCAAGGTCACATCTGCAGCACCCCATGGTCCAGATGCTGCTTGACCAGCCAGGGGCTTCCAGGCTCCTTCCAGAGTTGAGGGCAGTGCCCAAACCAGTGAGCAAGCAGTGGCTGCAGTGCCCTGGCACAGAGGCATTCCTGTCTCGGGCGCGGTGCAGTGCTGGGTGTGCTCCTGCACTGATGAATAAACCAGGGCAAGAGTCTCCCTAAAGATCAATAGCCACGGTCGCCTTATCGCTCCGGAGGCAGGGTGCGGGCAGGCGTCAGCCGCAGGGGGTGCCAAGCCAAATCAGGTGTCAGCAGCGGGGTGCAGGGCTTGGGCCCCACCTCATTCTGGTGGAGTCGACACCAGTTTTAGCCTCTCTGCAGGCTGAGTTTGCGCCCAACTCACGTTGCAACAACTGTGCTGGTGGGGACGCGGGCAGCCAGGGACCAGGGCTTTCACAGCATCCCCGTGGGCTTGGCCCGGGTCACCCGTGCTGTCTGGAAACCCCCTCTGGCAGCCCAGGGCCTCGCTGCCGATCTGCAGAAGCAGGTAGTCAGCACTGGGGCTGAGTCGCTGGCTGGCGAGCCCCATCTTCCCGGGCCTGCCCCGAGCCTGCCAAGGGTGCGGGGTCCACAGGCAAGGGGCGTCTGCAGTGCCTGGCACATCCCGGGGTCCAGGCCGGACACGCGGTCGTAGACTGGGGCTGGCAGGAAGCTCCAGAGGTCACATCCAGCCAAACTCCTGCCCAAGGCAGGATCATCCCTGCCCAAAGCATCCTGGACAAATCCACAGTCTTTGTAACACTACCATCAGCCAGGACACAGCACGTCTTGACATCAGCCGAGCCTGCCACAGGGCAGCAGGGGGGCCGCAGCAGCCAACATCCCGCTGCTGTAAACGATTGTTACTATGTGCTCTGGAAATCAGAGGCAGGGCTGAAGGGGCCTACATCTAGTCCAACTCCTGCCTGAGGCAGGATCAGCCCTGTCCAAACCACCCCACCCAAATCCGCAGTCTAGGAGCGCTACCAGCCACCCCGACGCAGCGCCTTCCGTAGCCCGCAGCCGGCTTCTGTAAAAGGTGGTTAATGTACACCCTGGCGATCCCAGAGGGAGGCTGTGCCCGTTACAGGAGGAGGCAACCCCCCGCCAAGTCCACGGCAATCCGAGCGGGGGGATTCCTTCCTGACCCCAGCTCTGGTGGCTGTCTGACCCTGAGCAGAGGAGCAAGACCCTCTGCCTAGGTGTCGCCAACGTTAAGTCCCAGCAGGAACATGAGTGCAGCGCAGCCGAAATCCCCGGTCCCCGCATACGCACAGGAGAGTCCTGGTGAGGTTTGCCCAAAGATGAGCCCAGGAGACCTCGCGCCCAGAGCAGCTGCCGGCTGCCTCGGCCACCCCAGAGCCCTTGCAGGCACCTGCGGCCACAGCACATAGGGATGTGGAGGGCAGCCCAGCTGTGGGGCACGACCCAGCTCTGCTTCGCGCAGGCCCCAGGCAGCCACAGGCCAGCGCCTTGGTCTGGTGCGGAGTCCTGCCCCACGCAGCCCTGGCCTGCCGCCCGTCTTGGGGTGACCGCGGCGATGGCGGCAGCCTCACAGGCCACTGCGGGGGGCAAGGAGCAGCTGCCCACAGAGCCCTGGTGACACTAGCCAGGCCCCTGGGGTGCTGCCCCCCGGGCTGCCCGCCGCCGGGATGCCTGGCACCAGGCAGCCGCAACGGGGCAGAGCTCTGCCTGGGAGAGCTCGGCACAGCCTGGCAGGAGAGGGCAGGGCCGCTGCCCCCATGACAGGCGCTGCTGCAATGGGGCTGCCCTCAGGCTGCTTGGCAGAGCTCATGGGCAAAGCTGAGCATCCCACGTCTGCCTGATTAGGCTGACCCTGGGTGGCAGGAGCATCTGGGGCAGCTCCCAGCATGTGGGGTAGGGAGCTCCCCTGCTGCAGGAGGGGCTGTGGCGCGTGCCTGGCCCCCGCTCGCCTAAGCCCTGGCTGGCAGCAGTGACGTTGCCCCCGCCTGCCGCAGCTCAGCTCCATGCTGTGGCCATGGATGTGACCTGGCCTGCTGGCACAGCCTCTTCGTCCTTGATTGCCGCACACTGCCAGAGGCACCGGGGAGGGCTTGTATGCTGGCCAGGAGGCAGGAAGATCCCAGGTGCTTGTGCAAGGTGGGGCAGCAGCTCTGCCAACCTCGGGTGCTCACAAGGAGCTGGAACAAAGAGCCCGATGGGCACTGGAGCGAGACGCTCCCTCCGAGCAGCCCCTTGCCTGTGCCCACGGCCCCCGGCCTGCAGCTGGCTCCGCGTCTCCCCAGGACACTGCCCCAAGCCAGCCCGGGGACTGCTCCTCAGTGCCACAGATGCCCCTGCCATGATGTTTTCCCAGGGTCCGCCATGCGCGGGGCGCTCCCATGCCAGGGCTGCAGGCTCTGGGCAGACTGGGACCTGGCCCTGGCCGGGGCTGGCCGCAGGCCTGGGCTGCGATGCCCCTTGAGCCCGTTGGACGGACCTGGGAGCAGTCTCGTGCAGGGGCTCAGGCCAGAGGCCACAGGCGCTTTGGAGCCAGTGAGGAGGAAGGGGCAAAGGTCACTGTGGGCCCTGATGGGGAAGCGGGCAGCTGCGCCAGAGCCAGGCACGCATCGGCCTCCTGCGATCGATACTGCAGCGCCGGCGGGGGCCGCAGGGCCCGGGGCCCGGGACACACACACGGGAGAGAGGAAACCAGTTGTGCAGCTGACCCAGACCAGGAGCGCAGGGCGCAGGCGGGCACACTACCCTTAAGTCTGCCCGCAGCTCCCACAGGCATCTGCCATGGCCTGGCACCTCTGCCAGCACAGGCCTGGCGCTCGGCACCAGCCCCCAGCGCACCTCCCCTCCTAGTTCCCCTCGGGCCTGGGGGGCAGGGGGCTCTCCCTCCCCCGGGGGGACAGGGGCACTTCCTCTAGGTGCGGGGTAGGGGGTAGTGCACGGAGCAGGCACCCGGGCAGGGGCAAGTGGCTGGAGGCGGCGGCCGGCCGCGGTGGGGCCCACTCACCTCTGCAAGTGGGGCTGGCAGGCGCTGAGCTGCTGTCTCCCGGGGAGGGCTGCGCTCCTGCAGGCTCGGACTTTATACCTCTCTGCTCCCCGCCCGGCCCCTCCCGCCCGCCCCCGAGGCAGGCGTTGGCTCTGTCCAGGGCTTGCTCACGTCCAAGTAAACACTGTCAGGTGTGTCCATCCTGCGCCAGCCCCGCTGTGCCCTATGCACCTGGGCCGGCCACACCTCCGGGGCTGCCCAGACGCGCCAGGCCAGGCCACCCCACCCAGGGCAGCGGCTGATGCCAGGCAGGGCCAGGACACCCAGCGGCCCCGCCCCGGAGCCACTGCGAGACGAGAGCGGAGCCAGCCCAGTGCTGTGAGCTTCCCCACAGCAGTGCCCACCACATTGCTCTGAGCTGTGTCTACCTGCAGGGCCAGCCCGGGACCAGCGCACCCCCCGGGCGGCGGCGTGAAGGGAACACGCACCGGCTGTAAAACATTAACCGGCCCGGCCCGGGCGCGCGGGGCTGCCCCTGCCGACCCCGGCCCGCCTGACCGGCCCCTGCTC